AAAAAAAATTCGAATGATCAGCAAGTCATAAAACGTGGATTATGGAATTATTTTCTTGTGACTTCTCACTTCTCAAAAGTTTGAACGACAAAGGATTTGAGAAAACGGTAGATGAAGTCTTGTAGAGGAGGAAAAGCGCTTTTCGAGTATATTTATCGCTTGGGTCGAAAAGCAAAAACAAATGCGATCATAATAGTTTGGAGGAAATATAGACAGTACTTACGTAATAACCTAGACATAGATCTGTGTTCAAAAAGTTTATGAAGACTAATAGTAAATCATTGAATCGTCTTCAACTATGCAAGAGTAGACCATTGTTATTCGGAATTTTTTGAGAAGTCTGCTCTCATTTCCCGCTTTAACAATCTAGCTATCTAACACTTCAGATTGACTTTCCTCATGTTAGATGAAAGCAGATTCTTCAGAATTCTACATTACATTTGTCATAATCTATGCGCTCTCCAGATGCTACCTTTGAGCGACCAGCGGTTGCATCTGTGCTCAGAACCGAAAGTGATCGCGTGCCTCAAGTACTGATTAGCCAAGCGAGCACTGATTTGAGGAGAACTCGGTATGGGTTTGACAATGACGTTCAATCTATTCACTTAATTTAATCCTTTTTTAGTTCCGAGAGCCAACTAGATGCCAAATTGCTGGATGCTATTTCTGTGAGCTCATCAGCATCATTAGGAATGGAGGACGAGATTTCGGTCTACACAGTCAGCTCGCTTGGAAGTGAAATGCAAGCAGAGCCATTAGTAAGATTGCCATTTTTTGCTCTTGTGTATTTTTCAATAGTTGTTACTTGTCTAGGATTTTGTAGAACCCTTTTTAACCAGAGGCTTTTTCTCAGGCTTTTCAGATACCACCGTTAGAAAACCTCGACGTCCAAGGTTTTCTGACTCCTGATGTACTCACTCCTCGTGAGAAGGATGCGAAGGATGCTACATTAACGCCTGGTATGTCTCTTGCAGAAGTGGAAAAAGAAGCTGCTGCAGCCACAGCAATTGCTGCCTCTGCGCCTTCTTCTAGTTTACATCCAACAGTTAATGGAACACCTGGGGCAAGTTTTAAATGAGCTTGAATTGGTCATGCTTTCTTAAGCAGCTTCAACTCATGTTTAGATGGAAGGTACAAGCTCTGTGGCCTCATCATTATCGCTAAAAACTGAAGATGAACAGGAAGAGGAAGGCAGCTTGAGTCGAAGTAGGCCGACGAGCACAAGAAAGCAGCGGTTGCACGTAAGCGGCATCATCAATATTTCATATTCTGAACTCTCTGCAAGCATTAAAATTGTTGGTTTTAGGCTACTCTACAAGCTAGCAAACGAAAAGTACTTGACTTGATGCAAAAGCGACGTGCCGCAACTCCATCCTCAGTGGCGGATGCAGCAGAAATGGGAGCTGATGCCGGGGAAATGGATGGCGCTGCTGAAGGTGATAGAATGGAGGTAAAAAGATTTTCTAGCTATTGTAAACTTTTACATACCTTATGGCTCACGCAATTTGAATTGGGAACGTCAAAACTTCAAATTGCATGCTTGTTAAAAAGTGCTACAGCGACAAAACAGCAATCCTGATTACAAAGTTTTCACATTCCTAAATATGAATACCGAGTCATTTTTCTTTTCATTACTATTTCATATTCATCATGTGCGTGCGAACTTATTCGTGGTTCATATAAACCTCGCAAAAAAGCAATTTCTCTCTAATTTCAAATAACTGCACAATATCTAAAGAACTTTTTCTTCCGAAGTACAATGCGATCAGTACAAGCGTACCGTTTAGTCACCTCTATTGAGCACTGGAAAACGCAGTCCTGTTGAAATGCAGGTTATCGACAAGAAAGAGAAGAGGAAGAAGAGCAAAAAGTTTGTCTTTTACTTATTTTTTGGAGTTTGTTTTTCTTCGTATATCTTGACTTCATAAGTTTTATACAATGGAATTATTTCAGCCGATCTCCTTGTACCGTACCTGCACAGTCCACGCCTAACTTGCAGGATTCACCTACAGTTTCCGTAGGCTATGCGCGATCGCGAACTACTAAATCAGTGCATTTTCGAGAGGTTCTTTATTTGCTGTTTGTGATATACAAGATAGTGAATTACTAGTATGACTTGATGAAGACGTTGATTTGCAATATCATTAGTTGCTCTTTCGCCCTAGAAAATGCCGCAGTCAGAACTGTATATGTTTGGGCCACTTTTTCCCCGAGTTTGAACCGCTTGGCTCAGTCGTGGTCCATTTATGAACAGTTTTTGATTCTGTTGTGAATATAGGAGTGGTTGATGCACCTCAATTAGCTTGGAGTTGTAGAGCATTAGATAACTTTTTATTGCATGACCTGAACTTGTTTTGAAGCGCTAATGTGGAATAGATTGCTATGCGCCATCATCGAAAGTGCCTTATTTCAACTTCGGAAGTAGGTGATGCCGAGTCTGTAAAGAAATTAGGGTACTAGGTCACAAGCCTGCTTGTTATAAGTGCGAACAGTCCGCATTCTAAATAGCATTCTCATCAAAAGTGCAAACACGTATGATCTTATCTAATTATGACGTGACTTATTCTGGCCCACGACATTGCTATTTCAGAACGTTCTTTGGGGACAATCCTTGCACTATGAACTTGACGGAGGCACAGCTTCTGCGTCACCCTCTAAGTCCTCATGTAAATATCTCAATATTACTGTACATGCAAAAGAAATGCCTTCTACTCCGCCACCTCTTGTGGCTGAAGCACCCTCTGCGACTCCTTCTGCAGCCCCCGTTCTCGAAGCAGAACCGCCAAAACCGATTCTTTTGGGATATGTGAGCCATTCATTATGTGTTCATAATGTTATTTTCAAAGTATTTCCGTGTTCTTGATTTTTGGTCAGTTTTCAAATTTTCAGACATCTCTATACGTTCCGCAGATACTAGATGACTGTCAACTCACCTTATCAAATTGTCACCGCGAAGTATTCCATTTGAAGCCTCCCACTGAAGTGCAGTCGATCAACGATCCGTAAGTCCTTTTTAACATCATCATGGCAGATTTTTCAACAGGTGTAAAAGATTTGCGGCGTTCTCCCTATTTATTGGATTTTATCTTTTGTTGACTAGTATGTTGATAAGCATTAGAAATTGTGGACATTCTAATGCAGTAGCTTTTGATCTTTACCTTAACCTGAGATTGTAGATTTTCACTTTTTTCTGATGTGGAGATTCATTCAAAACCTTTAATTAAGCTTCACGCAAGAGTTCTCACGGCATGCAGGATATGATCCTCGTCTTTTATACGGAGATGTGACATTAGGATTCCGTTATTTCGCAAATGGACTTCCCCATGGGGCTGGACTCCTTTTAGGTGAAGAAAGGTGAGATTAATTTAATTATTTTATTTTTTCTTTTGAAGTCAAATTTTCTTCTAGTGAGCAAGAGGAGAAAGTTGAGGAACAATCTGTGGATGCTAAATCTAAAGCCCTTTTCCAGCCATGTGAAAACACCAATCAACATGACTGGAAACCATGGAGCAGTAAAAGTGGTGATTCATAGCAGTGTTGCTTTATTCGAACAGATCTTACTTAATCAATCTCAGGAAGCGCCGTTTGCGCAATGTGCCGAGGGAAAATTTGGCTGAAAAGCGCAAGCTGCTGCCAGCGATGTCTCGTTGTTTGTCATTACAAATGCGTGGATAGAGCGGCAACAGGAATTGCATGCACACCGCATCCAATCAGCCAAGGAGATGCTCAGTTTGCTGAAGTAAAACCTTACAATTTTCTGTCTATCTTTTATATCCAAAAATTGTTATTTTTGTTCATTTCACACAATACCTGACTTTCAATAAACACTAAGTAATTAAGTAATTAATCTTTTACAGTTGAATGTTGATGCAAATGTCCATGGTGACCGTGTTGAAGAGTGTCCCTCGTCTCTTATCCCATCAACACCACAGAATACCCAACCACCACTAGCTAGAGGTACAGAATTTATTATGAGAAAAAATTCTCTGTGTTGAATTTGCAACAACTCCAGGTGAAGACGTTGAACTCACCTCTCGTCGAACACGATTGCGAAACAGGGTCACCGAGAAGTTCTCATCATGGAGAAAAGGTGGCAAAACTAGCTCTAAGCCAGATTTGGATCTTGCATCTAATCGCGATTCGCATATATCTGAGTTATCTGCTGCTGGTGAAACTGAGGAATTGCTTAGCCCAATGGCAAGCATCCAGGTGTGACTAACTAAACTAATACAATGCAGAACCTGTATTCTATTTTTACAGGATTGCCTATCAGATCTTTTGCCTACATTGGAAGGATCTCCTTTCATTCGTAATCTCTATTTCCAACCTGGAAATGCGTATAATGAGCAAACAATCAATCATGCCAAAGTTCTTGGAAAGGAGATATTTGCAGATCTCAAGGGAGAAGAGCGAAAGGCAAAAATAAATGAGCAGGTGGAGTTTTGTAGCCTAACAATTTCTATTCTTATTCAATTCAGTTTAGATAGACCGCATTCAACTCGCCATCCGAGAAACGAAAGATGACCGTCTAGCTGCCTTAAAAAAGGATGGCACGGAGAAGAAGGGTAAATCTTTCGAAGGGTTGGATGAACGCCTGCAAGCACTTGCAGTACTAATGCTGCATTACTGTGCTGCTTTACAGGTGTGTGGACCTTTTCTCTCTAATTTTCCATGTACCATTGTTAGTGCTCACGATTTTTATAACTTGTCTAACTTATGTTTCTAGGATTGCGAAACGCGGCAAGAATCTTCAACAGCTGTAATGACGAATGACACTGCCCCTTCAACAGAAAGTGCGTTAGATGGACGATCGCTTTCGGTATGGTGTTTGATAGCTAACCGTGATCCTTAATATTTTTACCGTGGAAGTTTGCACTTAACTTACTTTTGAATGCAACTTTCCTTTTTGATAATGCAAAGCTATGGCATGTACTCCTACCCCCACTGAGTGGAAGACAAAGTACCGCTACTGGAACTCGTCCTACAGAAAACTGTTCCATTCCCCTGTTCTGTACATAGCATGGAACTCCAACTCTCTAGTTAGAGGATTTAAATTTGTTTGCTGTTTTTTAAGCTTTTTCAATACGGTGTTTCACTCCTCTAATAGCCACAATTTACTATCATAAAATAAAACAGTTGTCTTTGAGGGCTTGGCCAGTTGACGGTATTAGTCCTCTACCTTCACTAGACCTGCTTGCTTACTAAACAATTCTGCAGGATCGTAATCATCTATATGTTCAACATGCATGCTTGTTTCCCATTTCGTGTTGTGTTGCAGCGTTTCGTCACAAAAATTCGCCGAAAAGTTACCACTCAACACGCTGCACTTCGCAAACAAGTTACAAGAAGTTTGCATGTATTTGACATTATGGTAGGTTGTATTTAAAGCT